GTCTCGCTCTGTCACCAGGCACCAGGCTGGAGTGCAGTGGTGCGATCTCGGCTCACTGCAACCTCCTCCTCCCAGGTTCAAGCAATTCTCCTGCCTCTGCCTCCCGAGTAGCTGGGACTACAGGTACATGCTACCACAGCCAGCTAATTTTTGTATTTTTTAAGTAGAGACGGGGTTTTACCATGTTGGCTAGGATGGTCTCAATCTCTTGAGCTCGTGATCCACCTGCCTCGGCCTCCCAAAGTGCTGGGATTACAGGTGTGAGCCACCACACCCGGCCTAATTTTTTTATTTTTAGTAGAGACAAGGCTTCACTATGTTGGCCAGGCTGGTCTCGAAGTCCTGACCTCAAGTGAGCCGCCCGCCTCGGCCTCCCAAAACGCTGGGATTACAGGCGTGAGCCACTGCCCCCGGCCAAGATCCTGTCACTTCTTACTTGGATTGATGGAAAATCTGTCCTTCCCACAACACAGCCAGAGTGGCCCTTCTCATTTTCAAATTGGATCTGGTATGACTTCCTACTTTAAAACCATGCAGTGCATACATGTCCAATTTTAAATATGGTATCCAAAGCTGTTCTCTTCCACCAGACTCAGGAACTTCATCTCCCTCTACTCCACCACTACCATGGTGCTCTTTGGCCGTGTTGAACCATGCCTGGCTCCCCAAGAATGTCATTCTCTCTCCACATGTGCTTTCTTACATGCTGCCCTATTTGGAGCACAGTTCCACCTCTTCTTTACCAGGCTATCTCCTATTTCTTTCTTTCTTTCTTTTTTTTTTTTTTTGTGTGTGTGGTGGAGTCTCACTCTGCTGCCCAGGCTGCAGTGCAAGTGGCGCAATCTCGGTTCACTGCAACCTCCGCCTAGCAGGTTCAAGTGATTCTCTTGCCTCAGTCTCCCGAGTAGCTGGGATTACAGGCACCCACCACCATGCCTAGATAATTTTTTGTATTTTTTAGTAGAGACAGGGTTCCACCATGTTGGCCAGGCTAGTCTGAAACTCCTGACCTCAGGTGATCCACCTGCCTTGACTTCCTGGAGTGCTTGACTTCCACTGTGCCCAGCCTCCTATTTCTTTTTTCTTTTCTTTTCTTTTTTTTTTTTTTT